CTCTCTCTCTCTCTCTCTCTCTCTCTCTCTCTCCCCCCCCCCTCCCTGTGTGTGTGTGTGTGTGTGTGTGTGTGTGTGCGTGAGTCCTTTAAGCTTGTGAAAAGGAACCTTGAGAAAGCTCATGTCTCATCATGCACAATTAAAGGGCATTCTTGCAATTTCGTGTGAGTTCAACGTCGGCATTGGAATTCTGTGAAGCGCAGGGGCATTTTTGGAATTTTCTCCTCAGAATTGCCCCTGAATGCGTGCAGCAACATGCAGTTCGCGGGTTCATTTCCCTCCGCGAGGGAGAGAGTTCCCACCAGATCGGACAGCAGGAAAGGTGGCAGCGCACACGCGCGCGCGCGCGCGAGAGAGAGAGAGAGAGAGAGTTCGCACCAGATCGGGCAGCAGGAAAGGTGGCAGCAAGAAAGAGAACGAGAGAGAGAGAGAGAGAGAGAAAATAGGTAGACTCCGAGCCAATGATCGAATGAGATGATCTTGCAGAGTAGAACCCCCGTTTAATCTGCGCTACCTGATGTGCCAGTTACACTTCACAGGCAAAGTGAATACATTCAATCAAGCCTGATGCAAACAGCTATACACCAGCAAGCAAGGCTGGGCCGGCAACCCGCCGCTTCAGCTCGCCCGGTCCAACCGAAGCCAGACCGGCCCAGGGGGGTGAACCGGGAAACCGGTTTAAAAAAAAAAGCCCAATTATTTTTATTTTTTTTTCTCGGCGGATTCCGACTGCGCTCTTCGAGAGCTGTCGAAATCCACAATAAAATTTTCAGGGTGCAATTTGTTTTGGGGGGTTTTCCCAGGGGGAGGGGGGGGGGGTATTATTGGGATTATAAGGGAGGTGTGGCTTTCAGGGGGAGGGGTCGAGTAAGCAAGCTTACTTATCTGACACCCCCGTGGGCCAAGAAATTTCAATTCAGCACCATAGGGTACTGTGCACCACGCCATCAAATATCGATATACAGGCTGAACGAGATATGACGAGTTTGGTCCTTGCCCAAGACTTACAACTCTTCCACAGTACAACTGGACAGCAGAGAAGTTATGGGTTCAGGTTTCAGCTCGTTTGTTTTTCTCTACGTGCGGTGTGTCATCAGCCCGAAAGTATCTTGCCCACCAGTCTGTCCAGATACATGTAGCGGAGCGACGTCCATTCTCAATAGATTGAGAAAAGCAGATAGCTTAGGTCCATTCTTGGGCTTGCACCTCGGACAGCATTCACGAGCCGAAACCCAAACCCATAACTTTTTCCCCAGAGTGTAGGGACATCGCAGAAGCATATGTTCTCAGCAGAGTCACTCTGTCAGCATAATATTGTCCTCGTGGCCGAGGGTGAGCCAGTATCAGGTCCTGCCAACGACATCTGGTATGTGGCCTGATGGACCACGCGATGCCAAATTGAAAAGTGGGGCCTGTTGGACCCCGCATCTTGATAAAAACGTGTGGTGGTTTTCCGCCACTGATCTGCGAAGATCAGAGGCAGAGATCCTCCGCCCGTTCTGTTTAAGAAGGGGGGTCCAAAAGGCCCCAATTTTTTTGTTTTCCAGGAGGTGGTGCCCTCCTGGGGGCTGGGCAATCGTGGGGATGCCCGTGACAGCCCGGTACCCCACCCCCAGCATAATGCGCTGGATTTGACCGGGGGTCTGCCAGGCCGGTTGTTACATGCTGCGCCTGCAACAGGCTGCACGGGCCATTTCGAGGCCCATGACGTTTTCAGCCTGAAAGCCTGAAAACAAGGGCCTACAGGCCCTGTGTCGTTTCAGGCTAAATCAGGGCCTTTCCGGCCCTGAGTGTTTTCAGCCTGAAACTGAGAGCCATTTTTGGGCCCTCATCGGTTCGACCTGCCCTGAAACTCAGGCTACAAACCAGGGTTTTAGCACAGGCCATTTCGGGCCTGTTTTCAAGACAACCCCTGGCTGAGCTTCAACGCCAGGGTCTGGCACGCTTCGGCATTGGCAAGAGCAGCCGCCTGGACGGGCCAGCACAATATAGGACTGCCCCCCCCTGCAGGCTGCAGGGAGTTCCTAGGTACTTCCCAGGCACTTCACGTGCAGTTCAGGAGGCAGGAGGTAGTCTTCAGGATTCGGCAGCAGTACTCTGGAGGAGCGCTGCAGGAGTAGTAGCAGCGTTAGCAGTAGTCTTTAGCGCCGGGCGCTAGTAGCGTTAGCTGTAGTCTTCAGCGCTGGGCGCCATAGCAGCTAGAGTAGTACTAGAGAGAGAGAGATTGGGCGGAGGCCAGAGGGACTTACCTGCAGCGCCATTGCTCCAGCTTCGTCTTCGAGGTACCTGCAGCACAGCGCCATCTTCACAGGTTAGTACCTGGCACATGACTTCACTGCATCAGCAGACTACGAGGGAGAGAGAGAGAGCTTGGTGACATTTGGATCCAGATTCGACGTTGGACTTCAGACATTTTGAAGAGGGATTATTTGGGACTTGCAACGAGACTTGGTGTTGACGACTTTCCCATCTCCCCCTTCCCCTTCTTCGTCTGATCCCCTCCTCTTCGTCTGTGTATGTCTGGACCTGGCGCCTCTTTCCTGTGTATAGCGCCAGGCCCCTTCAAACCTTGTGATGAGCAGGTCTACATTGAAACATTGATTGGGCTAGTCATTAGTATTCTAGCACTCTGCTTCGCTATCTTGTACTACGTGAAAGAGGTCAGTCCCGGTCAGGTCAGGACTTGTATCTAAATCTTCCACTGCGCTATAAAACACCATTTTGTATGTATCGGAATGCACATTGCTTGTTGAGATTCCACTTCCACTGCATTCTCCATTCAGTCCTTTTTATCACATTGCGGATCCTCGGTTTATATGTACATCGCCCGACCGGGCATGTAACACCAGTTGACCGCCCAATCCGACTGGCAGGCTCCCGGTCCAACTGGCACCATCCCTGCCAGCAAGTGGATTTGAGAGATGCCATGTGGCTGAGAAGACATGTGTGAAGGGAAATGAACCCTCAAGCTGCATGTTGCTGCACGCATTCACAGGAAATTCCAAGGCTGCCATCGCACTAAGTCAAAATTACAAAAATGCCCCTGCGCTTCACAGGATTCTGACACCACCATCGAACTGTCGTGAAATCGCAAGAATGCCCTTCGATTGTGCATCATGCGACATGAGCTTTCTTAAGATTCCTTTTCACAAGCTCCAACGACACAGCCATATTTCTAGTTGGGAGTGTGCATGGTGAGTTCAGTGGCAATATAA